GCCAATTTGATGAGTGTGAGGTAAGACAAAAGAGTTATTTTAATTTGCATTTCTGTAATCAGTAGTGGTTTAGAGCATTTTTTTCATAGCTATAGAGAATTTTGATTTCTTTGAAAACTGCGTGTATGCTTTGATGGTTTATCAGTTGAGGAATGGCATATGTTTGTATAAATCTGACTCAGTTCTCTGTGTATTTGAGAGATGAGGCTTCTATCTGAGATATTTGCTGTAAACGTTTTCCCCAGATTTTTGCTTTTCTTCCAATTTTGGTTCCATTGGTTTTGAAAAAAAAAAAACACAAACCCAAAAAATAAAAATCTTTAAATTTGATATAATCAAAATTATTCATTTTACATTTTGTAATGCTCTCTATATCTTATTTGATCCTATATTTCCTCCTTATTCATAGGTCAAACAGTTAAACTATTCCATATTCTTCTAATTTGCCTATAGTATTACCCTTTACATCTAAATCATGTACCCATTTTGACCTTATATTGTTATATGGTATGAGATGTTAATCTATTCTTGGTTTCTACTATACTGTTTTCCAGTTTCCACAGCAGTTTTTGTCAAATAGTGAGTTTCTGATCCAAAAGCTTGGATATTGGAGTTTATCAAATGTAGTCACTATGGACATTTACTACAATGTATTTTGTACCTCATCTGTTCCACTGATCCACCACTTTATTTCTTAGCCAGTACCAGATTATTAGATAAGTCCTGCTTTAAAATACAGTTTGAGATCTGGTATGGGTAGGTTATCTTCCTTCACATTTTTTTTTCATTGATTTACTTGATATTCTTGACCTTTTGTTCTTCTAGAGGAATGCTGTTATTTTTTTCTAGCTGTATAAAATAATTTTTGATACTTTGGTATGGCACTGAATATTAATTTGGCTAGAACTTTCTACCTAAGATTTATTTAGACATAATTGTCATTTTTCTGATATTGGCTTGACCCCATCACCAGTTAATATTTTTCCAGTTGTTTAGATGTAACTTTATTTTTGTGGAAAAAAGTGCTTTGTAATTGTGTTCATACAGTTCTTGGATTTGTCTTGGCAAGTGAGTTTATTTTATATCCTGCAACTTTGTTAAAGTTGTTAATTATCTCAACTAGATTTTTAGTTGATTCTCTAGGATTCTCTAAGTATACCATCATATAACCTAGAAATAATAGTAATTTTATTTCTTCATTAGCAATTCTAATTCCATCATTTTCTTTTCTTGTCTTATTGCTATATCTAGCATTTCTAGTACAATATTGAATAATGAGAGTGATAATGATGATTCTTGCTTCACCCCTGATCTCATTGGGAAGGATTCTAGCTTATACCCATTATATATAATGTTTGTTGATGGTTTTAGATAGATAATATTTATCATTTTAAGGAAAGCTCCTTTTATTCCTATGTCCTCTAGCATTTTTAATAGGAATGGGTGTTGTGTTTTGTCAGAGGCTTTTTCTGCATCTATTGAAATGATCATATGATTTGTTAGTTTTGGTATAAACCCCACCTGGTCATAGTGTATGATCTTGAGATACATTGCTGTAATCTCCTTGCTAGTTTTTATTTAAATTTTTGAATCCCCAAAGAGCTACAAAAAAGTGCATACCCTTTGACCCAGCAATAGCACTTCTAGGGCTATATCCCAGACAGATCATACATATCGGAAAAAGGACCCACATGTACAAAAATATTTATAGCAGCTCTTTTTGTGGTGGCAAGGAATTGGAAATTGAGAGGATGCCCATCAATTGGGGAATGGCTGAACAAGTTGTGGTATATGAATGTAATGGAATACTATTGTGCTATAAGAAATGATGAACAGGCAGACTTCAGAAAAACCTGGAAAGACTTGTATGGTCTGATGCTGAGTGAAGTGAGCAGAAGCAAGAGGACTTTGTACACAATAACAGCAACATTGCGTGACGACTAATATTGATAAACTTAACTCTTCCCAGCAATACAAGGATCTAAGACATCTCCAGAGGCCTCGTGATGGAAAATGCTATCCATAAAGAAGAAAGAACTATAGAGTTTGAATGGAGATTGAAGCATACTATTTGCTATTTTTTTTCTTCTGTTGTGTTTTGTTTCCTCTTTCTGGTGGTTCCTCTTATTGGTTATAATTCTTATTTACAACATCACTAATGTGAAAATATGTTTAATAGGAGTATATATGTATAGCCTATATCAGATTGCATGCCATCATGGGTAGGGAGGGGGAGAAAAATTTAAAACTCAAATGGTTATGGAAGTGATTGTTGATAATTCAAAATAAATTAATAAAGAAGTGGAAGAAAAATAAAATTAAATAAAATTTTTGCATCAATGTTCATTAAGAAACTATAGTTTTCTTTCCCTGTTTTCACTCTTTCTGGTTTAGGTATCAGCATCATAACTGTGTCAAAAAAGGAATTTGGTAGGACTCCTTTTTTACCTGTTTTTCCAAATAGTTTATATGGTATTGAGATTAATTATTCTTTAAACGTTTAGTAGAATTCTTTAATGAATCCATCTTTAAATGTTCAGTAGAATTCTTTTGTGAAGTCACCTAGCTGGTGGCTTTTGCTGAGTGCGGGCCCTCACTGCTGGCCTGCACTGGCTATTAGCTTGCATTAGGGCCCAAAGCTTTACTGCTAGTTTGCAGTGGGGGCAGGACCTTGCTGGCCATTTGTCCTTGAGCTCAGGGCTTTACTGCAGTTGCAGCCTGGCACTGGCTTACCCCTAAAATTGTGTTCCTTTTCTACCCCAGTGAGACAAATATTTCATTCTGCTCCTCTAAGCTGCCCTTGGGTGGAAAGCTGTGTCACCACTCTAAAACTGCCTCTGAGGCATTATTTCAAGATTGTTTGGAGGAGAATTTGGGAGAACTCAAGTCCAGTTCCTGACTCACTCCACCATCTTAGCCGCAGAATATTTTTTTTAATTTTTTTTTTTATTTTTAGGCAATGGGGGTTAAGTGACTTGCCCAGGATCACACAGCTAGTAAGTGTCAAGTGTTTGGTCTGAGGCCAGATTTGAACTCATTTCCTCTTGATTCCAGGGCCGGTGCTCTATCCATTATGCCACCCAGGTGCCCCAAATAATATTTCCTTTTTATGCCTGAATAAAACAACTGGATCTGTGATAACTTAACTGAATTGTCCAAGGTCACAAGTGACAAGTATCTGTGACAGTGTTGTGGTCTGAGAGGTTGAGACCCCTCAAAGACCAGAGTACAGGACAGAGTCTTCTGGAGTGAATTCTCCAACTCAAGCATTCTTTGAGTCAAGTTGGCAAAGATTTATTGGTTTGCTTTTCAGTGGTCAAGGACGCTTAAAGAACCTGCAAGAGACCAAGGATGGAACTGGGAAAAGGTATGGCAAAGGAATGCCAGGGCTGCTAATTAGGTAATCTAAAGGTCCAGGAGTTTTGGGGAGCTAGGGATGGGAAAGTGTAGGGAGTATACCAGACACGGAGGGTGATGTCAGAGGATCTTGGGAGGAAGAGTCCCTGGGCCAGCCAAAGACAAAACTCTTTAGACCAGATAAGACACCCCTCTTTCTCTGTCCAGATGAGAGAATGCTCTGCAACAAAGGAAAGTTTTCTCACAAGACCAGAGCTTACTAAGGAATTGGGAGGCTTCCAGAGACATGATCTTAGGGCTGGGAGCAGCCCTGCACTCTCTCACCCAGCTTTGTGTCACCAGGGAGAGATGTAAGTGTTTTGCTGAGGCCCAGTCATGAGTAATTACTAGGCACGGTGTCCTTGGGCTGGGGTAAAACTACCAGGGATAGTGTTTCTGAGGCTAGGGAGAAACATGGTCTTAGAGCTAGGGTCCCATTACAAGCACCCAGGAACCCCATCAGTAGGATTTAAATTTACTTCTTCCTGAATCCAAGTCTAGCGCTCTTAAACATTTTCACCAAGCCCCTTTCATTTTATAGTACTACATTTTCTTGTAGAAAAGCCTGGAAACAAAGCAGATTCTTTTCTACTAGGAAATGGTTATATAAACTGTGGCAAATACATGGAAATGAATCTTACTATGCTATAAGAAATGAAGAATATAAAAAATTAAGGTAAAAATGGAAAACTATTGTAAAACTAAGGAAACAGAGCCTAGAATATAATATACCCAATGAGTATAACAACATATACTCAGATATGTATATGTATATATACATATACATACATATATACACATGTACATACATATATACATACATGTATGTATATATAAAATGTAAGGATTGTTTTATTATGACAGAGTTTGGCTCTAGAGAATTGAGAAAATGTATCTTTTTGCCTTCTTTTTCGTGGGGGTGGGATATTTCATATACTGTCAGACTCAGCCAATATGTTGATCACTTTTGCTGAACTATTGTTTTTTGTTTCTTTTTTAATCTTTTTCTTTTAAAGGGATCAATCATTGGGCATAGGAGGTGGGGGAGTCATACATTGGAAAAGGAAGATGACATTGAAACAATATGTATCAATAAAATTTATACCTATGCACACTAACACACACACACACACATATTTACGTGTGCATATATTTCTGTTTATATAGACATGTATGTGGGTAGATAGAGATAGATAGATGGGTAGATGGATGTATTCTGGATTTTACACAAGTTTGAACTGCATTTAAACTTATCAAAAGTTTGAGAGCACAATATAAAAACAAACAAATTAACAAAAAACCTGAACCCCAAGCAATTTTACTACCTTTCATTCTAATGATGGTTTTTAGCATTTTTCTATTTCTTCACTAAGGTAAATTTTCTTAAAATGCGCTAGTATAAATGCCCAGAGAAAGGGCACCACATCTTGCGGGAGCCTCTTCACAGAAGTTCTTGAATGACTTTTGGCGAATCTCCTTATCTGAGAATGTGTTAAGACATGCGTCAGCCTTCTGAAATTGGGCCAGTCGCCAAGGGAGGGATGGTTTGGTTTGTGAATGATATTGCTTGACCTTGGTGCCACAGATTTGGTAGTTACCTTCTTTCAGTGTGATCTTGACAAAGTCTTTATAACAATTGAATCTCCCATATTTCTTTTCTGTATCCATTGGTTCTTGAACTTCTGCTGGATTAGGTCAGTTATAGTAACATTTTGATCACTGTGTTGCTTTTTGGGCATATGGTCTAGAAGTGGTTTGTTTTTTTTAATTGGTCTAGTTTGGAGATAACCCAGTCTGAATGCATGGTAATCAGCAGGAGAAACAAAGCCAGCCAGTATAGCTTTTTTAATTGCTTGGGTTTGGTCATAACTCAATCTCAATGAATGGTACTCAGAAGGAGTAACTAAGCCAGCCTGTACAGCTTTTGCATTAAAGTTAAGAAAATTATGTGGGGGTTTTTTCGGTGAAGCAGTATCTGTATGTTTTCTCCATTGTCTGATTGTTTCAGCCATGCCATCTTCATAGTTATTTTGCATTCCATACACAAAATCAGATCCTGGTAACATGTTGCAAATTCTTCGGGTTCTTCCTAATTCTGGTTTTAGGATGAGGTGATTACAAAACATGGAATTCCTCATACAGCCATGCCTGTAGTTCTCCATTTCTGGCTTCAAGTCTGCTTTGCGCAAAGGCATCAGGGGAGGGAGGCATGTATCCCTGATATTTCTGAAGCTTTTACATTTGAGTGGCTTTTCTAATTTGAAAGGTTTTTGTTGTTCAGATGAAGCCATGTTGGCTAACAGGCTGTTACTCACTTTTATTCCTTGTGGCATATACTTTGTTTCTTGTATGTTTCTCTTACGGGTGATGAGTTAAATGTCCAGTATCATGCTGGACACTGTAGTAATCATGGAAGACTTCATGAGGGCTTCTCATTGGTTAGTGTTGCCTTTCTATGAAGCTAGCTAGAGGAAATAAAATAATATTCCTATTCAGGGATAAAATGTTTTATTTATCCTGTAATGCAGTTTAGACTAATAGAATATTTGAGTAGTTCTATGAAGTTAGACAAACGAAGGCAGTCAGTTGTTCCTTTACCTTCAGTCAGTCTTGGACATTGTAGACTTTCAGTTCACTAAATCTATTTCCAGCCTTTCTTCTTTCTTCTTCTAGTTTCTCCATACATCTATAGAATTTCCTCATTTGTTCATTGTGACATAATAGAGACTTCTCTTTCTGGTTTACCCTGGGAGAGGATGACTCTGAGAACTACTTAAAAATGCTAATCTAGGTGTGTTAGCTCTAATAGTTAGAGACTAATGTTAATAATGCCAACATAAGAGTTTCAAAACCCATATGCTTCAGCTAACTTTATATGGAGGAAAACTATGTTTCAGGAATATAGACGGTAGCCCTAATCCTAACTGGAGATCTTGAATATGAATGCAATTTCTCATAGTGCCATATAGGTAAGTTAGTATGGATGGTTCAGTATCTAGCTATTAAAAAGTAGCACAATTGTACAAGTTCAACAAGTAGAGGGCAAATGATGATAAACCAGTGTTATCATTTTTTGAGTATGAATAACAACTGACATTTATATAGCTCCTCCAAGTTTTCAAAGTGATTAAAAGACATTGTCTCATTTGAGTCTCACAACAATCCTATGAAATAGGTTTTAGAGTGATTATTATTCCTTTTTTTAGATTCAAAGAATAGAACCTGAGAGAAGTTATGTGATAAATAGTTAAGAAGTGTTAGTGGCAGAATATAAACCCAGTTCTTCCCACCAGTAAGTCTAGTGCTCCCAAGGCAGCCCATTCTACATTTTGGATAGGTTCGATTGCCACAAGCATTTTCTTAAATCATCAGGTTGATCAACTTGTTTTTCCTTATATCAACAGATGTACAACTTGGTCAACAATTGAGATTATAGTTATTCCCACCAAAAGAAAGAAAAAAGGGGGAAAAAAAGCTGTGCTTATATTTTTACGTTAATCATTTCCACGCCATTTCCAGTGATGACAGCATTTCCTTTTTTACTTAACAAAAAAAGAGATTGCATGGTATAATAGAGTTTTTCTCAAAGCCAGGAAAACTGAAGTTAAAGTCCTGCCTCAGAAAAATACTGACTCTTGACCTTAAGTAAGTTATGTAGCGCTCTAGGCAACTCTCTAAGGTTATAAGTTGCAGGAAAAGTGCCAATCTGAATTGGTAAATGGAGTTTCTTCACTTGGGAGTTCCCTCTATCAGTGAAATCACAGGTACAGCCTTTTCTATATTCTCTTCTTACTAGAATGCTGCAAATGGACACACCTAACAGGGTGACAAGTATATAGTTGAGGGTTGCTCTAAACATAGCAGTACTAAAGAGAGTACTGTACTTAGGGTCCACTAAGGATGTAATAAATGCTTATGGAATGAATGACCGAAATATTTCAGTGAATTACAACTTGAGAATGCATCAGCACTCAGAGTTTAGGAGTGAGGGATGCTTTGTATCTACTGTTAAATAAAAATATACCTGTGTTGTGTGTGTACATGTGTATGTATATGAATTAGCACTGTGATATAACTTCATCAGAAGTGAATACATGGGGAATTCATGGAATCACAGGATTTTGAAGGTAGAGTGAACCTCAGTTCATCTAGTTATATCTATATATGAAAGACAATTGCATACCTGATAATTGATCAACCACTCCACGTTTGAAGGCCTCCAATGAGACTTACCCCACTATCTCCCAAGGCAACCAATTCCTCTTTTTGACAGCTCTAATTGTTAGGATGATTGATTGTCCTTATGCTTAGCCTCAGTGTGTCTCTTTGAAACTTCTATCTCTTGCTCCTAGTTCTTACCTCTCTGGCCAAGCTGATCAAGCATAATTCTTTTACTATGGGATAGCCACTGCCACTCAACATCTGGATTCGAGATATGGCAATATCTGCAGACTCAATTGGTTTAACTATTGGGATTATTAAATAATATCAAAAACACACAAATATTCTCATTCAAGAAAATGAAGATAGCAATCCTTCTTATCTGGTGCAGGTCTTCTGATAAACACTATGATTAACTGCATATAGGCCAAGATGGGGTGAGTTGTTGTTTTTTGTTTTTGTTTTTGTTTTGTTGGATACTCCCTTATCATATTGTTAGCTCATGTGGTGCTTTTAGTCCACTAAAATCTTGAGATTTTGCAAAACTGTTGTCTACAGAGCTCTTCCATCTTGTATGTGCGTAGTTCATTTTTCAAACTCAAATGCAATGTTATCTAATTAGACTTGACATGATAATGTTGTAGTCTTTTGAAGTTCTTTTAAATCCACACATTGTCATCCAACTTGTTGAGATTCTTCTTAGCTGTATCATCCTCAAATTTTATAAGCAAGCCAACTACATCTTTGTTTTAAAATGTTTTGTTGATGTTGACTCCTTTATTTTAAAATTTTTATTATTTATTTAAAATATTCTTTTATTTTTAAATTTTGTGTTCCAAATTACCTTCCCCCTACCAGGGAGAATTCAAGCAAAATGATACCATTTTTTTTTTGGCTTTGCTTGTAGGCATTTTCATGTTGTTATCTTCTGAGTTTATGTCTTGATCTTCCCTGCCATCATAGTAGCTTTTTATGGCCAAGTTCTTTTTGTTGTTGTTATTTGCTCATTTTTTTAGCCTATTCCTTGACTTTGAACTTAGGTAGGTTGGATTCTGATTACTTGTCGGCGGGAAGGCACTGTCTAAAGCTTCTGGCTTTTTCATACTGCTTTTTTCAGAGCTCATTCTGGAGATCTGCAGGTTCTCAGTGCTTCTAAGGTGGTGTGATCTGGAGAGAGGTGTGTCACTGATGTTTAATTGTACACCCAACACATCAGTCTGTTATATTTATATTGTGTTAATATGCATATTTTCATAGACATAGTTTTTATATTTTCTTTGGGAATGCTTTTTCTGTGTCCAAAAATTTTGGTATGGTGCCTGATCATTATCTTTCTCATTCACATATGTTAATTATACCTGTAATATATTCTTTTATCAACATATTGTTTAGGATATCATTTTAAATCTCCAATTTCTTGTGTATCTTTTGCTATATTAATTACTATTTTTATTGAAGTAGACATTTAAAGAATATGTCTTATTCTTTATATTTTCTGTACTTATATATTGAAAAATGTTTTCCTCTTAGCACGTGGTATATTTTTGTAAACATTATATGATGAAGAGAAATGTGTATACTGTATTATTTCATATTACCATTAAAAAGATTCCAAAAGTCTTTAAAATATAACTTTTCCAATAGTCTATAGAGTTTTATATTTTCCTTTTGTTTTTTCTTTCTGTTAGATTTATCTAGCTATGACAGAAACAATTAAAGTCTCTTAAAATTATTGTTACTATCTATGATCAGTTGTAAGTCAGCTCCTTTATGAAATTAGATGCTATGCCATTAAATGTAAATATGTTTAATATTGATATTGTTTTGTTATATATGATATCTGAAGGTATAGGAGGTCCCAAATGTCTTAGTGTGGTTTTAATCTCTGGGTCACTATGTATAATGTACTTTTCCCTCTTTATTTCTCTTACCACTGCAGTTAAAAAAAAAGTTGTTTAGTTTGATTATAACTTTGGCTTTTTAAAATCACCAATTGTACAATGTATTGTTGCATTTTGTTTCCCTATTATTATTTATTTCCTTTTGATGGACAGTTTAATCTATTCATCTTTATGCTTATTATTTTAGGAATGTGTTTGACTACAAGAAAAATCAGATAAAATAAATATAAAAGAAATAAAAAGTTAAAACACACACATATATATTAATTTAGTCTGTTGTTGCCTTCTCCTATGCCTCAATAGTGTAGATATTAATCAATAAAGGAGATACATGGTATTTGTGAGTCAATATCCATTTCATGGTATGAGACTCACCTCCTAAAGATAGTGTTTCCTCTTTCTGGATTCGTCATTGTGCTGCCCTCCTTCCTGCCATCAGCCAGTCTGTCAGCAATTATGTATTAAGTACCTACTATATGCTAGGCAAATAAAATGTCTTTTATTTCCTTTTTATTTGCTGTGAATTACTCTTTTTTCAATTTTTGATTTAAAAAATTTGTTTTCCTCTTTATTTCAAAATCAGATTTCTTATTTTCTTTTTAAAATTGATTTATTTTAAGATTTTTTTCTTTTTAAATTTTGATGTCCAAATTCTCTTCCCACATCTTATCTGATAGGTGATATGGTACCTCAGAACAGTTTTAATATGTATTTCTCTAATTAGTAGTGATTTAGAGCATTTTTTCATGTGGTTACAAATAGCTTTGATTTCTTCTTCTGAAAACTGCCTGTTCATATCATTTGACCATTTATCAATTGGGGAATAGTTTTTATTTTTATAAACTTGACTCAGTTCCCTGTATATCTGAGAAATGAGGCATTGATCAGATAAACTTGCTGCAAATTTTTTATATTACTCCATTATAAATTATATTTTTTAACAAAATGTGGTTTCCCTTATCTCTCTTCATTAAGTGTATTTTACTTCGCTATGTCTGAGATCATGATTGCTACTTCTGCTTTTTTTTCTGCATCAGCAGAAGCATAATAGATTCTGCCCATCCTTTTGTTTTAAATCTTGTATTTTTCTGTTTCTACTGTATGTCTTATAAACAGCATGTTGTTGGATTCTAGTTTCTAATCCATTTTGCTATCTGCTTCTATTTTATGGGTGAATTCACCCCATTCACATTCACACTTATAATTATTAACTCTGTATTTCACTCCATTCTATTTTCTTGTTTATTTTTCTCTTTCTGTTTTTGACTTGTCCCTCCTGAAAAGTCTGTTTTGCTTCTGACTGTTGCCTCCCTTAACCCACCCTCATTTTTATTGTCCCTCATCCCATATTTTTTATCCACTTCCCTCTTATTTTCCTATTGTATAAGATAGAATTCCATACCCAACTGAGTGTGTATATGTTTTTCACTCTTTGAACCATTTTCTGATGATAGTAGGATTCAAGTAATTGCCAACCACTACTTACATTTCCTCCTCCATTGTAAAAGTTCTTCCTTTTGTGCTTCTTTAATATGAGAAAAATTTCCTCATTCTCCTTCTCTCTCCCCTGTCCTCCCAGTGCATCCCTCTTTCTTATACCT